GCCAATTGAGCTAGATGTTTCCAGAAACCACGGTCCCCAAGCTCTCAGCCCAGTAATTCAGTTCCTCAGGGAGTTTGGATGTGTCTATCGAGCTTCTACGGCTTTGCCTTTGTCAAGTTGTGCTAATTTCCCCGTATTGTGTACTGTCTTACCCTTCACCAAAGTTACTACTTATCTATTGTCTAGTTACTGTTTTTCGCTTCCCACCCCTCCTCTCCCTCGTAATCATCGAAGTTTGTTCCTTTCTGTGAATACATTTGATTTTGATGTAACCTACTTGGCTATAGTAGCTACGTTAATATATAGAGACTGAATACTTTGTTCTTTTGTATTAATAATTATGCCGTGTGTAAAGAAAACTAACAACCATCCAGAATAATGAGGGATTTTGAAAGAGGTTATCTCACTTGGCTGAAAAAATATATTTTTACATGGTATTAAATTTGGGATAAATTCCAAGATTCTTTAAAATCCCACAGTCTATAAGAAAAAAAAATCTAAAGTTGAGTTACCAAAATTTTTTAAATTTTTCAAAAGACAAAAAATGTCTCAAAAGTAGCTTCTTACATGATAGCTTTCAAATGGTTTCAGCATTTTGTGGCAAGTGACTTTTTGATTAAATCTGTTAGAATGTTCATACATACATATATCATTTTAAAGTATTTCTTTAGTTTAACATAATCTGTATAAATCAATGTCACTCAGATTATATTTTGAAGAACACTCTTCTAGAAAATGTCAAAATGCATGGCACATAAGGACCATAGCATATTAAAGGCTTTGAGTAGGGTGAGAATCTTACATTTATATGAGAACTACCTACGATAATCTGGGCCACTGGGTGGTGTAAACGGTTAAGTGCTCAGCTGTTTGAGTCCACCCAGAAGTGCCTTGGAAGAAAGGCGTGCCATCTACTTCTGAAAAATCAGCTATTGAAAAGCCTATGGAGTATAGTCTTCCTCTGACACACATGGCGCTGTTGTGAGTCAGAACTGACTCAATGGCAACTGGTAACTGGTAACTGGTAACTGGTATGATAATCTGAAGATCAGGTTTGGGAAGAGATAGTATAGAAAAAATTTTACGAAATAATTAAAAAATCAAATAATATAAGCTGCATGATTAATAAAATAAATAAAAAGATCAAATAATATAAGCTGCATGATTAATAAAAGATGCAATGAAACTCTCAAATATTATTAACCATCATTGATGGTTAAATATTAGAACAATTTTGATAAAATTCAGAGATAGACTCTAGTATATCAAAATCTACATATAAAATATGTGATTAAGAAAAAAGCATTATGAATTAATGAAAGAAGAAAATTGAAGTGGATATGAAATTTCTGAAAAGATGACTTCCTAAACTTAAAAATGATAGAAAAAAATTTAAAAAACAAAGGTTTTATTAGAAGGTTATAATAAAAAAAAACCACAATACTTTTATATATGTCAAGATATAAGAATATAAAGCAAACTGGACAAAGATATTCAAAAGGTAAATATCAATGCCTAAAGTGCTAACTTGTGTAAATCAAGTGGAAATACAAATAATAAGCTATAAACACTTGGAAGAACTTTCAACCTCAGCAGTACTCAAAAAGATAATTGAGAATATGAAACATTACTCTGTAACTATCACATTTTCAAAAATCTTCCAAAAAATGAGAAAGAGGCACATTTCTAAATCAATGAAGAAAGTTGGTGAAATTAGAATAATACTTTTTAAAATCAGTTTGGGAATCAGTTTGGCTACATAAATCACTTCAAAAAGGATTATCTTTTACTATTACACATACTAATGAAATAATTACAAACTTCTTCAATTATTTTTGCATCAATGTATTTATCACATTAAAAGTTCAAAATAACTATTGTTCTATGACTTCATCACTGACCACAGCCAACTGAATTAGATTTTTCAAATCTAGTGGATGCAATATGACATAGATATTAGAAATTACAAATTAAGAATTACAGGTTGGAATAACACGAAACATTCAAAAAGTTAAGCAATCTTTAGAAAGATAAAGTGAGACACTAAACTGCATATTCAGCAGAATCATAACTATTATGAAAAGGTAGAAAATTTTAAAGATGTACCAAATTGTTCACAGTGATTCTTTGGATAGGGAAATTATAGGTCTTTTGATTTACTACTTGGGTTTTCTATAATGGCAAAGTATTATTTTTAAATTTGAAAAATAAATTTAATCTTCTTAGAAATGTCACTTTCCTTCAGAAGAAATATAATTTTAAATTAAATCATTATTGAGATTACATTAGATTTGAGGTTTTGTTACAATCCTATCAGGTTTTCAACTTTCCAAATTGATACAATAGAAAGGCTCTGTATCATAGGCGCTGTGACAAAAAATACAGCTAATTTTGCCTCAAGTAACTTGTCTTCATGACTCTTTAGCCAAAGGAGCCAATGTTCAAACACCAGAATGTTCCGTAAATTAGGCAGTAATACACTTTGCAAAATTATTTGTAGAAGTGTATCTTTGAAATCAATGCTAGACTCTGATCTCCATTTTTCTTTACACTTTAAGATATTTCTGAAAACATTCCCTGAATTTCAAATGTAGTTTTGTAAACAAGATTTTCTGCTTGATAATTTTTCTTCCCTGGAAGAAACAGTATGATACATTAAGGTACTCAGTTTGCTTTATTAAACATAAAATGTCTGTAAAAGTGAAAGTAAAGGAGGCAAAGTAGGCATCTGTCTATCCCTGGGGAAACCGTGGGTGAATTTGCAGCCTGCATTGTAAACTATGGTAATTTAACAGTGATGCTGATGAATTTTAATTAAAACCTTCTGCAATCCTTAGTGGCTTGGAGATGGAAGAGAGAATTTTCAGGGAGTGAAAATGTAACTACAATTTACTTCTTTTTGCTTCTAAGTTAGTGGAATATTTTAGCTTTGAAAATGTA